GAACTATCGGTGATAATTTTTTACTTAAAACTGGTACAATTTTAGATTCCCAAACACCAACGCATTTGGATGATGTCTTCTTGTGTTCATAATAGCTGATTTCTTTTTCTGTGACAATAAATTGATGTAAACAATCACTTAATCTATAATCCTACTTTGTTTGGGAATGGAAAATGATAAATGTATGTATATCAATAAAATATAGTCCTAGTCAAGATTTGTTCCAATTACTTCTTACAAATGGTTAACTCTATAAAACTATTTCTTTTTATTGTTAAAAACTAAATCAATGGCGCATCAACATTATTAAGTCTGGGCCACAGATGTCTGAATTTGTTTCATGATCATATGTCTTATGGGCCTTCTATACCCGACACATGCCGTCGACTTTTTGGATCTAAGGCAAGTCGGTTTCCTCACGCTGTTTTCCTTTACCGTTAGAGCGAATGTTAAATGCGCACATGTAAAGAATGTCCATTGTAGCGCATCCAGGGCTCGAACCTACGACTTCAGGGATGAGAGGCGCACGCTGAAGCCGCTAGATTTAATTTATTGTTAAGAGAAATATTACTTGTTGAATAATATGTAATTATTTATTAAAATAGAAGCCTTTCAGGTAGCCGAGAAGCTAGGCAGCAGGGGGACTTTGCTTAAACTTATGTATGTGTGTTGGGCGTCTCCCTCCGGGCGCGACATTACATCGGAAATATCGTACTGCTGAGGAAGTTGAATGGATCTGGTCTGCCGCCTTTTTAAGTTCTTATATCATTTTTCACAGTATAATCTTTTTCTAACATCTTTTCACAAGTGATTGTCCTCGATTTAACATGTTTGACGATAAAGAGCAAAAAAATATATTTATTGTAAAGACAACCCTTACTTTGTAAAACCACGCTACTCCCCACTCCAGTATCTTTAGTATCTTTAGTATCACGCGCGTATATTCTTCTAGTTCGACGTTTCGGTAGTGTTTTAACACTACTAACACCAATCTCTGTGCCACTCAAATTCTCAGAAACTTCGTGAATCTTTCGTGTTCTCTTACAAGTGCATACATCTGTTTTCGTATCGAATTGGTTACTGAAATCCTGAAAAAAATATTAATTAAAGAGACTCGTCAACAATAATATATTTATTAACTCTTATTTCAGTATTATTATTATTTTCTTATGTAGCCAAGTCCACATTTCAAGGATCGTCATGCTCGCTTAAATGTCATTGCTTGTGGTGACGTCCATGCGTCGGGTTGTCTCTCTCCCTAAAATATGGCGAGGGGGCCGATGGCTGGCCATGCGTCATACTCGTGAATGGGTGCTACTTGTGGTGACTGGTCGTACTTGAATTCGTGTATGTGGTGATGTTAATTATTTCGACTATGTGTTTGCGTGTTGTTCCCACGAGAATGTAAGTGCGTGCTCCTATTTCACCATGCCTCCTGCTAATAGAGGAAAAGTCTTTGTTTTTAATTTATGTTATTATTATTAATTACTTAAGATGTCATGTGGAACATGGTGTAATGGTTGCAGCTCCTTACAAACGTTGTGTAAAAAAAAACATGGCGATTAAAAAGAGAGGCGGAGAGTTTATTGCCAGTTCTTCTCTTCCGTTCTACGCCCTTGATTTGAGAACTGGCTGGCATTAATATGTATTTCTTTAATGACGAATCACAAGTGTACAGTGTGTTACCTACGTGAATAAATGATTTTTGAATTTTGAAAGAAATAATATAATAATGATAATAATTACATAATAACCATTCCAACACGCGTTCGCGTTCGTTTGCATAAACCAACCTAGGAATTCAGGGACCTTCGAATTCTTTGCGATTATATCGGATTAACAGTACTAACTTATCCGGAGCTGGATATATTCGGTAGTGGGCTGATCAAATTTAAAGAAATCATTGTTAAGGTCCGATACCTAATCTGCTGTTATGCTTTTTTTTATTTTTTTCTAACATTTAAGTTTACTGAAATGATCATATATTTAAGATAAGATAGCGTGTAACATATACCCAAGATATAGTTCTGTGTATGATGTGGTAAATTTCAATAAATAAATATCCTAACACGCATTTTTATATTATGCTACATCCGAAACTGAACGGTTTCGAAAGACAACTCTATGGCAAGGACCAAAGGGAAGAAGAAAAAGGTGGATAGAAGAAATCGAAGCGTTAGCAGCAAGCAAATGGAGAAAGAAAGCCATGGACAGTGATATTTGGAAAAATCCGGAGCCTTTACCCGTGAAGGGGTCCAAAAATATGGTCCCGTTCATTTGGGAATATCTACCGCTCATTGACACTATTCCAGAGGGCTCGCAAGTGCGTTGCCAGCATTTTATGAATTGGTACGCTCTTTGAAGGAACCTAAGTGGAATTGGTAAGCAAATACTTCAGAGGGCAGCATTTCAATCATTTCAACCTAATATCTGATTTAATACCTAGGACTAACCTAAATTAATTTTATTGTGTTATAGAACAGTGTTGGCCTAGTGGCTTCAGCGTGCGACTGTCATCTCTGAGATCGAGAGACCCAGGCTGTGCACCAATGGACTTTAAAAAGGGCACTTGCTCGGTAAAGGAAAACATCGTGAGGAAACTGTTTTGCCTTAGACCCAACAAGGCGGCGTGTGACATAGGAGGCTGATCACCTACTTGCCTATTAGATTGAAAATCATGAAACAGATACATAAAGCCTAGACGCAAAAAGGTTGTAACTTGTAGCGCCACTGATTTATTTATATATCTTTTATTGTAGATTTATGTATTAGAGTTATTGGGCGTTCTAACACTTTACCTTAAGATCATTTGCATATGAATCCAATTCGATTATTTTAATATCCCTCTTCAGATTCGTCTTCATTTCTTTTTGTTGATCATAGTTTTATTACATTTTTACGAAAATTTTATTTATTTTATAAACCTACCTATGACAGTTATACTTTTTTATCATGACATATTGTAAAAGTAGGTTGTCTGTTCTAACCAACTTCAAAAAAAGGTTACCAACACACAACTATACGGTATTCCTTAACCAACATAGTAATGTGCACAATGAAATTGTTAATTGTTTCGTTTGCTAATAAATAGTGTGATGCAACTGCGGGCGGCGGGAGCCGGGCGAGCGTGTGATGTGCTAACGTCTCGTTCATTCACCTTAGGTCACTGACCACACCACACGCCACACGACACTGCTTCCGTAGCTGCACACTTTTACGAAAATATACTTTTATTTCTTCGCTTCGTCATCAACAGTAATAATACTAATAATAAAAAATGGGTGGTTCTGATAGTCATGAGAACTATGACCATAATCACCTACTTGCCTCATGAAATAAAATGAAACATGCATCAGCCTAGGACCCAGATCTAAGAGGTTGTACCGAGAACATCAAGAAGAAGGAGAACTTAATCAGGCAAAGCCTGATCACCTACCTGCCTCTTGAAACAGATACATAGGACCCAGACCTAAAAGGTTGTACTCCACTGTTGTCTAGTACTGTAATAATCTGTCAAAACGCTCAGGTATAGTAATCTTTCGAGATTTTGACACTACTTTAGCTGTCTTTCAAGTGGCTTTATATTTTTATACAATTTTAATTTTTTATTGGTAAGTTTCCTAATCGATTGTTAAATTTTAATTTATAATCTTCGTCGTAAAACAATTACATACAAATATAATAATAATATCCTAGCTTCCTTCAGTACCGTTGATCGGAACCCCTTCATAGGTAAAGGCCTCCTACAGCTTTTACCAAATAAGTCCATCCATGGCTTTCTTTCTCCATTCACTTCCTGCTAACGCTTTTATTTATTCTATCCACCTTTTTATTTTTATTAAAATTTGCTAATATTTTTATAGCTGCAATATAACACCTGTCTCTATCGTTTCCGATGTTTTGTAAGTTCAATTGGACTCTTAAGAGTGGGCACTAACCAAAATCACTCAGTGTAGATTTGATTTTATCCAAGTATGTGATGTTTGAATTAAAAACAATAAGTATGTATCCTTCACTATAAATCAATGGTTGACTCTAATTAAAAACACAATACAATATAACGATAATCCTCCACTGCGCAACTCTCAGTCTATCCGCCGTATTTTGTGTGAGCGTTACGAATTCGGCTCCATTAGTAAAAGCAGGCACTGATTGAAGACTTTTTGAGTTCTATAGAGAGAGGTCCCCGCATTATATCTCCATTCACTCCAAAAGCTGCCCATGCCTGAAATACGTGCCTCGACTGCAGCTTGACTTTCGCAACCCAGTGAAATTTTGTGCCAAAGATTGATATAATGGTCTACAATATTGTTGTCTGGTTCATTCGATGTTTGTCATAGCTAGTCTTGGAATATCTTTAGGCCTACCTTCGCTGACTACCAGCTTAGCTCTCTGACCATGGTCGCTATATCCTTATCAGCGAATAACACTATGTCATCAGCAAATCTCAAGTTTGCCATTTTATTGGCCGTCCATGTTGATTCCTTTATCATCGTCCCACGTTAGCTACTTAAATACGTTTTCAGGAACCGCAGTGAAAAGTTTCTGGGAGATAGTATCTCACTGTCTTACTCCTATTTCGTCTACCATAACACATGATCTTCTTAAAGTGCTTTAGAAAATTATTGTATCGATAATCAATTTTGTAGTCTGCAAGACCTTTCTCTCCAGAATGTCTACGAATGCGATGATGATAGGTTTTTAGTACACGTTTCATTGCTAGATAAGGGTTTTAATTGTTTGCAGGTGATCGCGTCTCTTGTGATATACGTCTAGTTTACTTTTTAGTCTGTTGACTGGAGTTCTACTAAAGAGCTTGTTAATATGCGGGAGAAGACCGATAGACCGATAATTGTCCAGTTTCTTCAGATTTCTGATCATGGTAGCCCTATCATCAGGGTTATAAGACTTTGTCATCAGCAAGTATTGTTTGTCAGTCTATGCACAGTATTATACAATAAACTTTTTTTTAGATGTGTTTATGAAGACGTTACTAAGAAATGTCGAATCAAAAATGGTTGATCTGTTCCATATGTTTACAACATAGACATCTTGACAAGTGTCCAGGTATTGATAAAATAACAGAAATTTATCCAAAAAAGGAGAATAGAACACATAGCGAACGGAATACAAAAAATCTTCAAAATGGTTGCCATCCACAGAGGCATAAAGTGTCGAAATATGTCCAAACAGAAGATATTAATGAAATAATAAGTGAAGTTTTAAATGTATTTAAAAGCAAGAAATTCAAAAAAGACGCCACCACGAATACAGATAAAAAACTGGTTGTCAGCAAAACGTTTCATCTGTCAATAAACTCCGTCTGCGACTATCCACAGACTATCAAATCGTCGTCAATACCACAGATGAAAACCGAATTGAAGCAGAGACACGTAAAACACAGAGACCCAATCGCTGAGGTGAATAGAATGTTTGCAAATGTTAATCTAAATCGACCGACAGTTAGAAATGGTCCACGGATACTGCCAGTTGTCAAAACTGACAGATCTGACAAGGCAAGTGTTTTTGTGTGTTGCCATTATCAATGCGAGAATTATTTGTAGATAATAAATTATTTATCGAATTGTTTTGTGTATCCACACACAACGACACATTCTTTGGGATGTGATTCGTAATTTGGGCTCAAAACTTGGTACTTAATGTTTAAAGAAATGTAAATAATGATTATATAAACTTTTTTGAAAATAAAACGAAGGCTTAAGATAACTTGCGTTCTAAGGGTGATTGAATTAAATGCAATTTATTTTGATGAAGTTTATTAACCAGAGTATTGTGTGATGTGTCTCAACACTCATTCCGTACGTTAGGTTATTCCCTCATAAATAAAAACAATAAAATACCAAATAGATCGAAATATTTAATAAAAACATATTAAAAATAAAAACTGTCTGAAGAGAGTTTCAATTTGTCGCTTCTGGAAAAAAAACGTCTGTAGTTAACATATCGATATAAACGCAAAATCAATATATTATGTACAATAAATTCCTAGAACTGCGCCGCGCATTTAGCATTTTGGTAATAGATAACTTTACAATAATTGTATAACCCAAAGACATTGATTTCTAACAATTAAAACCATTATTTATTCCTTTATTTAACCATTAATATATATTTAAAGTCACACAGTTGTGTTAGTGAATTTCCTATGTTACCTTGAATCACGATTTCTCCTATTCCTTCCAATCGTTTCGCTGCAAGCCTTTTCCCAACCATGAGGTGAATCTCGACTGAAATTATTTGTAATTTAGGATCCCCCTTCCCGATAAAAAAGACCCGTAGAAGGCCCGATACGTCTTAACGGATCCTGATGATCTCATCACGTAAGGACGTTAAAACCGCATTACACATTGAAGGCGTGGACCCTTGCTTCACTTCAGTAAACTTCCGTCCTGTTCTTCAGGCGATTGACCACCCCCCGACGGCCTAAACCGAGCTCAGAGTCTCGCAGACGACGCCCTTGCGCTAGTTGTGGGATTACTAGGCAGAACTACGCTCGCCATTACAGCCCGAGCTCAGCTGTAAAATCCCTTAAGACCAACAGCGAGATTCCATTAAAAAAAATCAGTATGTCAAAAACGATATTCATAGAGGCCATAGTCAAATGTTGTCTAGTCTTGTAACGAAGGTTTAATTTGTGAAGTAGGATGGCGAAAAGGTCGGGGTTTTTAAATGGAATGCCACTGTTAGCCTGAAGGGCCTTGACAGCTCCGCTGTTTTGGCGAGCATATCTCTGCCTAGTAATCTCACTAGCACAACTCACAAGGGCGTCTTCAGCGAAACTCGGACCTTGTCTTGGACCGCCGTAAACCACCTGAATAGCAGGACGGAAGCTCATTGTAGTGACCGAGGTAGCTAAAGAACCTCCACTTCCCCGATGAAGGCAGTTTTTGAATCTGAAAATACTTTTCTCTTTTGGCCGACCAGATATGGTGTTTTCGTTGTAAGCTACCGTAATGAGATTATCTGGAGATAAAGACGTGTCGTGGCAGGCCTGGTTGACGCAGTCATAGCTACTGCTAAATCTCGTTCCTGAATTTCACCCTTGACCTTATGGCTAAGCTAAATACTTACTCCCCCAATTCCAGTGGATCAACAGTGGAGCGATTCGATCTTTTCTGATCCATCTCCTTGGTCAAAACCCTCTTCAACGTGTTGGACGAATCAACAAACTTGCACATATATTCATTAAGACTCTTCATTTTCGAAAACACATCCTTCTCGCATACGTCGTCCATTTTGTCGACCGTCATCTCAACATCTATCAATGTCAAGTCTGTGTTGACAGCAACGTGCTTTAGTATCTTAATCTTTGGCGTGACAGTTTCGATTACATACTCATTTTCTGTCAATTGATAATATGGCTGACGCGTCCCGTTTTCTAACTGCTTATCATCTTCCAAACCATTTTTAGTTTTAGCCATGACCAGTTTTAGAAGATTGTCCAAACCAATTTTATGGTCGTTCAAAAGATGGCGATCGAGTACTGTTATTCTGAAATATTAAATTTGCTATTTTAAAGTTTTCTTTTGCCTCTAATCCATAGATACTTTCACAAAGAGATAGAAGAATCTCCTAATTGCCTTATAAAACAGATCCATAGGACCCAGACCTACAAGGTTGTAGCGAAAACATCGTAATACATTACACCCAATCAGGCCAAGATCACCTACTTGCCTCTTGAAACAGATACATAGGACCGAGACCTAACAGTCTGTTGGGCAATTTTTTTCAGGTACCTATAGTTTATTTAAGCAAAACTAACCTATCCGCATTAAATGAACACAAGTGACACGAAAACACATCCTTGGCTTCATTGCTAAAGCTCTCCTTTAAAGCTTTCGAAGTACATTCACTTTGAGGGAAATCCTGAAAACGAATTTTTGTAAGTTCCTTGGAAAAATATACATAATATAATACCTCTGGTGGAAATTGGAGGAGCCCTACATAATGCAGTAAAGGACCAAATAAAGAGGCTGATGATGATAATACCATTGTACGCCTTCATTGAATGAATCTCCCGACTGTTAGGACCATTAAATAATGAGCACAATTTTTCTTTTATTTATTAACATTTAAATTACTGTATATATTTCGTTCAAAGTCTCCAAAAAGTAACTTCAAGAACTGTCTTGATTTGATTTTGATTTGACAGGCGAAGACATTTACAAGCATTCGACTAATCTGTGACCGACTTGTGCCACGTGACTTAACGTTTAGAAATCCGTATTTTTAATTATGAACTTAATCCGAGTAACTCTGCTCCAAAACATTTTATACATATATTTTATAAGTACTGTTTACGACCAAAATACACGATATTCTCCATCTGTCCGTACACGGCACGGTCCAATCACGGTCATAGCACGACACGGTCACGGTACGTCACGGTCATAGTACGGCACGGTCACGGTACGTCACGGTCATAGTACGGCACGGTCCTATTATGACGTTGGTACGATACAGTCATGGCAAGATAATCTGGTCATATCGCGTTCACGGTTCACGAGGTATGAAAATCTATATTATTAACTTTGATCACACTTTATCATATCATATTTGATATTGCCAAAGAGTTGATTAAACTATCCATATTTTAGTATTAAATATATAACATAGTACATACGAAATCACCCAACACATTTTCTTCGGGATGCGAAAAAAGAGTTTTACTTCGACACAGTCGCGTGCGCAACTTCTCAAACAACTTCGTAGCTGACATCGTTCTACTGGGCACTGAAAATTGTCTCGCTTTAGTTTTTCTACAAAATTCTAACCATTTCTAAAATTGGATCTAATGGTGTTACAATGTTATCGCTACAACCTTTTATGGGACCTATGTATCTGTTTCATGAGGCAAGTTGTTGACATTTGCCTGATTGGGTCTAATGCCGATATTACGATGTTTTCCTTGAACCAGCGAGTGTTAAATGCGCATAAAGATGCCAAGGATCGAACCTATGACCTCTATGGATGAGAGCCGCACCATACGCTAACACTGCTCACGTATAATAAATATCCTTTAACATAATAATCCAGATAACAATGTGATATCACTTTAATATACTTCGCTAATTAATTTATGTTTAAAATTACTACGCACTTCTTGTTTATAAAAGCTAGTTCCGACTAGCTTTTTAAAAGCTAGACATCTACTTGACAGATTTATGAAATTAAAACTGAGAACTCGATACCTAACTTTACACCCTAAAGGCCGAAAAATATAACCGCTTTAATCGTTGACACGTTATTCTAAAAACTAAGACAGCTGACAGCTGACAGAATGTCACATCGGCATTGACAATTTACAACCTGTAACCTATATGCGTCTGTGATGACAGGTCAAAAGGACCCTTACTTGGAATGGCTGTGGGGAGAAAAAAGAGGGGACACCCAACTAGGAAGATGGAATAAAAGGAATAGCGGGGCAGGATTGGAAAATTGTGGCGAGGAAGAGACACAAGTGGATGAATTTGGAGGAGGCCATCACTTCGTCAGAGGTCGTATTATATTCAACATATCGTGGACTTAATGTAGGCTAATAAAGGCAATTTTTATTTTTTTATTTAAAAATAAATTGCTGTTGAATGTTACGGGCTCAAATATATATTATGTAATTGTTACATCATGAACTTACATTTTATACCCTTAATATTTGTAAAAGATGATTTTCCATTCACACCTGGCATCGACTTAATCTGAAATTAAACAATTGTTTGTCTGAAACTAAACCATTTTTTCAATAATAACCCAGCGGCACTAGATACAATGTTTTAGGCCTTCTAATAGATAACTTGACGTGACAACTGACTAGTCTAGGCTAGTCTAGTCGGCTAGTCTGACAGTTACTAGCTGACGGCAGACGAGACGAGCAAGCAATATTAATACAAGATACGTTTGATATTTATCTCAAACACACAAATATACAATATTTACAATATTCTTAACCGTAGTAAAATAAAACAAATTTAATAAGTTTGGTCCCTGTGGCACTTGTAATGCTGGCATTGCCTCGCTGTATTGCGATACTTATTCGTTGAGGAAAGCACCAGCTCTGGGGTGACCTACCAGACGCCACCTTAAATCTTTAATTAAGCGTGCACTTAACCCAAAAAAAATAAATAACTTACAGGATTTACAGCACTATGGTGTAATTGTTTATGCATGAGAAGGGCGCTCTGAAACTGTGATGAGAAGGAGCATTGGGAACAGCTGAAAATAAGGATATTTACACAGTGATGCCAACTCCTACAGAATGTTCCCCCTAGAACCAACATCAAATACCCCTAAATATCGATTTTAAACCCCTAAACTTTTTGTTGTACACTTGACTTTAGAGGTAATTTAAAATATGCATCAAAATACATTCAATATATAAAAATAGTATAAAATTTCGATCTCGGAGATTCTGATACTTCAGTCATAGCAACGCTTGGAGTATTTGGTTTAGTTTGTTGGTTGGTTCTAGGCTTAAAAAAAATTGTATAGCATCGAGCGTTTTTAAAAAAGAAAAATAACTCAGTGGCGCTAGAACTTTTTTTATGTCTGGGCCTCAGATTTCTGTATCTGTTTCATGATTTGTCAATCTAATAGGCAAGAAGGTAATCCGTCTGATCTGACTCACGCCGTCGATTTGGGTCTAGGGCAAGTTGGTTTCCACACGATGTTTTCTTTTGAGCGAATGTTAAATGCGTCATTGATGCACAGCCGGGGTTTTTCGACCTCAGGGATGATAGTCGCACCCTGAAGCCACTAAGCCAAGACTGCTCTTGTATAATCTTCTTCTTATACTGCCATCTCCTTGCGAAGGTTGGCGATCATCATGGCTAGTTTAATTTTGGATGCCGCGCTTCTAAACAATGACTTGGTTCTTTGACCAAAGCATTGTCTTAGGTTTTTCAACCAAGACGTGCGTCTGCGGCCAACTCTCCTTCTACCTGCCACTTTGCCCTGTATGATTAGTATACTCGTATATTGTATCGCCTAAAAATCCCCCTAGTTCATCTTGATTTAAGTTTATATGTCATTGGTCATCACACTTTTTTCAACATGTTCACATTATCGCGCTTAACTAAAGCCTGAGACAAGATCACTTTGCGATAGGCGTGACCCACCAACGAATCAGTATAAAAATTGTCACGTGACTTGAGCTATCATTCCATAGTGAGTTTGTCAGATATCCGACTTGTGGCTTGAGCACAGATCGCAGCTGGAAAAATTCTGCCGTAAGATTGTCAAATATGTCACTAAGATAAACAGCACGAGAGGTACCACGGGTCCAGCCGGGCAACGGGCTCCGACTCTCCCATAAATATTATGAGGATATTTCCGGAGTAGTGGTCGCTCGGGCCTGGAAGACGCAAAACCCTTTTAAGTAAATGAAGCCCCTTTTTAAGAGGTGATTTGACACTCCCTGCTGTCTAGCTTCTCGTTCACATATCTGCTTGATTGCGTGCCTGATAGGCTACGATGTAAGGGTAATCTATTATATAAAATTGTTGTGTCACAATGTTCGTTCCCATACACCTCCGAAACGGCTCGACCGATTCTTATGAATTTTTTTATGCATATTCAGTAAGTCTGAGAATCGGACAACATCTATTTTGCATCCCCCTAAATGTTAAGGGTGGTCCCACCCATAAAATTTTATTTTTTAGACAAAACTTTATTATTTTTATGATACAGCATACAAAAATACATACAACCCTTAATTGTCACCCCTCTACGATCAACCCCGATTTTATTATAGCATTTAGAAAGTTATTTATATTGAATTAAAAAAAATGTTTCCTAGAAACAATATACATGGCAAAATGACGTTTGCCGGGTCAGCTAGTTTATTATTAAAAAATAGCACCAGAGGCAACAGAGAGGTCAAAGTTTGATGCCTTCTCAACATCCGTAAACGCAGTCTTGGGATCAAGCAGGAGATCAGTATCGCTATCGGAAGTTACAGAAGGGCCCAGTAGTTAGTCCACTCCTGATATTCACCATGCTTATGGGCACTTTTGACCTGGCCCTTCTCTAGTACGTCCCAACAACGTCAAGGCCTTCCCAACCCGACTTCACCATCCAAGGTTGCCTTGTATATCCTACTTGGTAACTGCATAGGTATATTATTAACAGTTATCTTTTAAGACTAAGACTTCAGGAGGGTCTTTAGGTCGGAAGAACACACAACAGCTCCACAGTTTAAAGAATCCTAAGGCGCTGTTACGCCAAGTTGGCTACAGTATCTTTTCTTAATAATTTGTATGCCAAATGACATTGACTTTTTGTTTTTGTTCCCTCCCGACCATATGGCCAAGTAGACTAAAAAAATTGGGCTAGATTTTCTACTTTAGTTGTTTTTAATATCTAAACATAAATAAAACTCACCAATAATCCATGTTTAAATTGTATAAATTAACGACAAAAATGTTTGAATCATGGCTGTCATCTGACATAAGACCAGTCTATGAAATGCCTATCATAGACTAAGTATCGAATAGATTAAGTACTAACAAAATATGTTTTATTATTTAGGCATCATGCAACTGTTTAAACCCTAAATAATACAGAAGATTTATTGGTAAAAACACATAGAAGAATAAATAGAAAACTAAAACAAATTTAAAAATATTCATGTGCTCGACCTTTAAATTTTAATGCTAGTATTTTCTCGCTGTATTGCGATTAATTGTTGAGGAAAGCATCAGCTCTGGGGTCATCTACCAGGCGCCAACTTAAATCTTTAATTAGCTGTGCACTTGAACCCCATGGCTACTCCAAAGGGAAAACAATTAAAGTTGAAGGAAAGATTTATATTTGACTCGTTTACTATTTTCCACCTGCTCGGCGGGCGCGCTTGTTTTTTGCTTGTCCAAGGGGGTGAGACAGGGTTATCCTGTCCACACAGGTAGTGTTCCATATGATCTCCTTGATGACAACCACCTTCTGAAGAGAGTTTGAAACTCTTGTTTGTTAATTTGGATGGCTCTAAGTAACACTGTTAAAGGTAGTAATATATTTCTGGAATGTTTAGAAGCCTTTGTCAACAACGTGTCCCTGCTTATTGAATTAAATGCATTTTGACGTCAGTTTAAATAAATGCAATCCGTACTTGCTACATAATTGTGTGCATTTTCCATCAGGCGCTATTTTTATAAAGCTTTTAACTGGGTCTGTAGTACCGATTATAAATCTAATGTTTATTTTACGTTATTCACGTGACACAAAATGGCCACAGGTCAGTCGATTCGAAGATGACATAACATGTAAATGTCTTCATCTGTCTAATCTTAATATCTAGGTGTTAAATTCGTCGGAGACAGTTATTATATATATTTAAATTATAAACACGTAAAAAAACTTGACGTCATAAAAATCTTGTTTTCAAAATATTGTCAATTGCTTATATTTTATAATTTACATAATGGCTGACTAACAGCGGTCATTACTGAGATAATAACAGACAAAGTTGCCGAATAACGATTTTTATGAATAGATTAAATACATTAAAGTATATTTAAGTTTTCTCAATATACACCACTTTATATTTAATTATTATGTTTACCTTACGAACGAAGGAATAAGATAAATGTTTACTAATGCTGAAACACTATACATTTTCTGGTCTAAATTAAACGTATTATTATGCCTATTGAAGAATGTATATATCACCAAAGACCATTACTTTAATTGTCTCTGGTAAAAATCACTGTACCTAATTACTATAGTTGTAATAAAAAAAATGTATTTTGTAATGCTCTAAGAATAATACAATACTATTATACGCTATAGAAAGTAATTACATAAATGAGGAAGTGGAATTTATTCCAAACAATTCCTTTTTAAACAGCGTTAGGTTAAACAATGAGTAAAGTTGTTTTTAAACACCTCTTACTTTTTTCAGTCTATATGCGATTTTTCTTTTTATATATTTACAGATTTCGTGCTGTGAATAAAAACAGTATGACATATCCGTCTAGACCTATTCATAGACCATTTATGGCCTTGCCAATCAACGAAAAAGAAAAGTCAATCTGATAATCTTATACATTTTTCATACATTCGCAATATTAAAATGTTATTAGTTTTGATTCTGTACTAAAATGATAACTAAAATTAATCTTAATTTATGTTTATTTCGAGAAATTAATGTCTCATATTTATTAGTAATAGTATCTAAAAAAAACTTATTACTTGTTAGGAATTATAATTTGCCTTGAAGCAGTTCATGCACTGTCTTAAACAATAAAGACAATAGAGGCATGACAACCTTTCACGTTCGCAAGTCGAAACCTGTTTTTATCTGTAGAGTGTAGTGACTCATTCTAGTCTGTGGCATTTAGTTCCGCGCGGGGGCCCGGTTAGAACGCACGCAGCATTTATACGTTTTCATTTTTAAACATTTCCATTAAAAACAAAGGCAAAAAGTGTAATTGTGCAATCGTTCTTGATAAGTGTTTTGTTATTTGGTATTATTTAGTGAAAAAACAAGACCTGATCAGGTACGTTCACTTTCTCTTGTTTTTATAGCGCTCTGTTGCTTCAATAAAAACTTTGTTTAAACAAATAATACAAGATGGACACCTGTATTAAATAACTCTAGGTACGCTTAAGCGTTAGAAATCTATGTAAGTAGGTTTTGCGATGCATCCCATGTTTTAAACTTACTTGGAAACTGCCAGGGCGCTTTGTGAGAACTTTCCAACAATTTTGAATGTAACTGCGATCCATGGCCTAATTCATAATTTATAACGGAGTATATTAACTCCCAAAAACAATGGATTTATGGTAATAATTTAGGTGCAATACCAAAGAAGTACAAGAAATTTTCTACAAAAATACTGTATAGCGTTAGTTTGTTTGTATTAGTTTAAATTCTAATAACACGTAACAGTTTATATAAGTTTTATTTACTATTGCAGTAATATGTCGTAGTCGATATTCTATTGGTATTATATTTTTAAATTTCACAAATTCTTTGACTATTATTGAGTCATAAAGACAATATTTATTTTTCGAAATATTGTATTAAAAGTCCAGTCGTGCTAAGTATAGATAAAGCATTGTAAATGTTGTTGGTCCAGTGGTTAAAACATGCGACCATCAAAACGAAGATCGTATGTTCTTTTTACTGTTGTGCTCCAATCGATTTTTCAATGAGCGTGCACTTTTTAGGTCTTAAGTACGTCTAAAATTATGAAATAGTACGCGCACTTTCGTTTTTGAATCTCTCTCTCTTAGACTTAAATATTTACAGGCACAAAAGGCTGATGCCTGTTCGTTGCCAGATTATGTTTATTTTTCATACCAGTAGGACTACTGTGTCTGACAGCCTTTTTCAAGTCCGTGATATTAGGACAAAACCTTGGAAGTGACATACTGGAGTCATACGCAGCGCTGAGTTGGTTATCCTCACAAAGAAAGAAAATTTCAACACTCGGGAAGTAAACGCGCGACCTCAAAGACGCCCATTTAACCACAAACCTAACAGATGTTTCGGCCTACAACATCTAACAAGATTAATTTTAGTATAGAATAAAGTACAAATTATAAGCATCATTCTTTAGTTAAATTGTTATAATACCAACGAGGAAGATGAAATCGTATACAGAGTTGTTTATTAACTATTCCATTCCAATAATAATAATAACAATTAATGCGCTTGCGTAGTGACACGAAAGCCTTGTAATGTAATAAATTCGTGTTTATTTTTTAATTAGGAAGTAGTTTGAAAGGTCTGGGTACGATTGAGTCGAGAGTTGGCGCGAGCTTTGATAGCCGTATGTCCAAAATTCAATTCTATTTGACATAACCTTAAATAGTTCATACAGAGTCCCGGGTGTATAAAGATTAATACAGTACTAATTATTTATCGCTATTAAAATAACATTCCACGTATTAGCGTTTTATGAAGTCGGTTAAAATAAAATGTTAATAGCAAACGAAGTATGCATTAATGAATGCAATCTCAGAAACAAAGGAAGCAGGTGCATTTGTTATGAGATAGAACAAAGAAAATGATTAAAACGTTAACAAAAAAGCCTTGGAGACTGATTCTAGCGTCCGCGTTTCGGAATGTGATTAAAAAATACTAATTTTTAAACTGAAAAATACTAATAAATTTTTGGACAAGAGACAAGAAGGTATTGTTTTTTTTTTAAATTTAAATTATTTTTGAGTCGGATTTCAATTAACTTTGTTAGGTGAGGATATCTATTGTTACACACAATATGAACTGTATTTTTATTCGAAACAAATATGTCAAACTTACATAACAAATAGTTTAACAAGCTCTTGAGAGTTGAGACAAGATTTAAGTTTGTGTATTATTTTTTATTATTTTATCCTCCGATATTAGGTGACGTAATTTGCAAATGCGGAATCGTGCGAATGAGGTCGAAATATGCATCGTATACCTGTGTCTTTCTCACCTATCGATCTATCCCCTTCACACAACCGTTAGGTTAGTTGACATCTAGTTATTTATCGCTTTCGACGCTGGATCTTGGATAAGTTTACGCTGAAATACTATTAATATAGCTTTAATTTTAAAGCGCTTTAAGTAAAACCATTAAAAATGTGGAAATGGCCGAATTTAACGTTTTTTTGGATCCCTCAGCGCTTTTTTGCAGTTGGGTGTTGATACAATCGCTTTTTAAATGCATATAATCCCACTTACCGATAAACGCATCTTAACATTTTAAACACTATTTAAATAATACCTACCTAGCTATTCAATTTCACGGATACTACGTCATACGGGTTGATGACAACACATATGACAGCATGAATAATTATTTGTATCTACAGTTTTATAAAATTGGTCACAAACCTAACACAGAACGTGATATACATACATACATAGAAATAAGAAAGTTGAACTTTCACTTTCGCGTCGTAAAACCAAAAGTTAACTAACGAGACTGGTACGAAATCAATTCTCTTATGGTAGATTAATAAATTTGACGCATTTCACAATATTAATAACAATAAAAGCCTTTATTACTGTAATTACTTAAAAATATGAAATACTAAAAAATTAACACTAAAAATAAAAAATAATTAATTCTGTAATTAATCGGCAAGCGATTTCTATTATATAGCTTGTCCTTGGACATAGGCCTCCTCTAAGGGCTTCCACTCTTCTCCGATTCTAGCTTTACGTAGCCAGCATATGGCCAGCTACTCTTCGCACATCATCTTCCCATCATTATTTGTCTTCCTCGTTTTCTTTTGTGAGGCGAGGAAGCCATTCCGTCACTTTCTTCGTCCATTTATCTTTATCTTCTCTCATAATGTGTCCTGTCCATTTCCATTTCAATCTTTTACTAGAAGTAACAGCATTTCTAAACTTTGTCATGTCCTTTATTTCTTCTAGTTTTACTCTATCTTTCAATTT